AAGACTATGCAATTAAAACCATATCTCTAGTATTATCAATCGAAAGGAATTACTACTTGACCTGTAATAGGATCGTGGCCGTTTTCTGATGCCTAAGTATTATACCTTATATTATATTATAAGCTTGCAATGGCCAGTTTACTACTAGAAAGGGCTTTGTGAGATATTCTTGGACTTGATCCTTTCTTCAGATCCTTTCTGTGCCAAGATAATTTATCCAGTCATTGGGAATAGTAGGTTTCCTTATAACCCATCTCAGTTAGGAGCAAATTCAACTCTACGTGATATTTGTATGTCAAATTGAAAGATTCAAGCAGAGGTATTAAGATGTATGACATTTACTCAAACCATAGCATTTTCTTTTCTATGTCCTCTTGTCTGTGAAAAGCTGGGATATTCCACCCGTCACTAATTAGTTGTCATCCTAACACTCGGACCAGCCTCCCTCCTTCATAGACTGTCATTTTGTGCATGGGTGGTGGACTGGCCAGCCCCCACCCTCTGTCTTGTGCTCACAGCTCCAGGGCATCCCTCCACCTGCTGCACACCACTCGCTGCTGTCCCTCTGTACTCCCCACCTTGGTGCACGTAGTCCCAGTGTCTTGCTGCTAAACCTGTCAGTTGAACTGGGGGAATCTCTTTGTTTGCCCAGAGGATCTGCTAGTTCTCTGGAGCCTTCCAGCATTTGGAAGGAATCGCTTTGCCTTTTTCTGATTGCATGCCGAGGCTTGGGGGCACCTGTGATTGTTCTCTGCAGCACCCCCTCAGGCATTTTCCTCGTGTTCTGTTACCTGTGTTCTGTTACCTGCACAGACCGAAGGGGTTGGGTCACTTTTGAATGTGGCTTTCATAGGAAAGCAGTCAAACATAAATATCAGAAGTGACAATTATCATATGATACCTCAGTGATTTAAAAAGCCATAAAAGAAACTTGACTATGCTTGGTCACTTTCTTGGATCTCCTGTCTAAATGATATATATTTTTTTAATGCAGAAAACTATACTTTGTAAGGACCAGTTTTTTCATTCTTAATGGGACCCTGTCAAATCCCACAAAAGAAAGGTAAAAATTCATGTTAGAATGTTTCAGACGGCTTGTATGCTTCTTCCATACATTTACTCTCCCAGTATAGATCCCAGTTTGAATATTACATGTGTAGAAAAACTTTCAGTTGCTCAAGAGCAATAAGAACTTTTGAAACTAAGGACAAAGAGGAGGTTCTGGTTTG